CGCTTTTACCTGTAGCTACCTTTGAATACCGTGAGTGACTTCATAATGTAAGAAAGTGCATCCAAATTTATGACTAATGGATGTGAATGCTAGATATTTTTAAAGAAAAACAAGGTTATTAATTTCACCACCAAGTCAACTGGTAATTGTAATGCAGAAGTACAGTTTCTATTGTTGCTGTGGAGGGAGGATGTGGTCTGTGGCTTAGCTGCAGGGGAGAGGTGGTACAGTGGTTTCAGGGGCACTGCCAGGGGAGGCTGACTGACCCAGCTGTCAACGATGGTCTAATCATGCCTTACCTATTTCAGTAGCACGCTGGAGCCTGGCAGAGGGAGGACAACACTGGGCTGGCATTGAGAGACAGAGACAAAACGAAGGCGGCTACTGAGGCCTGAAAAAGCCTTTGTAAATAAGCGTAGCCCATACACGCAGTCCAGGTACCGGTGAAGATGGTTGAGGAGCTGCCCACTCTGCATCAGGAGATTGAGGCAGTGCATCAGCAACAAGATGAGATGCTACAGACCCAGGCCACAAGACGCAGGCGTGCTCAGAGGATCCACCAGGGAGCCCTCAGCCAATGGTGGCAAGACCACGGCTCCTTACCCCAAAGAGGAGACCCTCCATCACCACCTGAGGGAGAGGAGCTGCCCTGTTCATATCCTAGTAACCTGTTTCTCTCTGCGTCCCTTAATTCTGATTAAAGGATGCGCCAGATTGGACTAGGTTTAACAAACTGATGGGCAATGGCATGATGGGCAATGACATGTGATGTCTGTGCTGCGCTCAGGGGGATATCACTTTGTTTTAGTTCTTGTGGATTATGCAGTGAGATGTCTCAAAGCAGCGCTGCTGCTTAGCATTTTTGCAAGGAGTGTAGCACAGATGCTGTTTTAGTTCACCTCCTGAGTCAGCATCCCAAAAGGGATACAGATGGACCACGGCACCTTGTCTCACACTTTAAAAGAACACTATGAATTATTGGGCTAAAAGTCTGTTCGGACCAGCGTCTATCACTTGCGCACTGACAGGTTAGTGGGGCATATGAAGAAGACTTTAAAGTATACGACTCGTAGGTTCATTTACAAGGATGAACACAATTGGCATCACTGGCTAGACCCACTATTGTGGTTGTGCATGAGGTGCCGCAGGACCCTGCAGGATTTTCTTCCTTTGAGCTGCTGTTTGGCAGGAAGCCATGAAGGTTGTTGGAATTAATTAAAGAAAATGGGGAAGAAGGTACAGGAAGGCTATTAGTGTTAGGTGCATGCCATTAAGCAACTTAATTCATTTAAAAAATAATGTTACAAAAGCTTCGAAATAAAGATGGTCTAGCACACCTTGAGCTCCTGGCATAAACATCATATAGGTTTACAGTTCATCAGCATATTTTATTTTCATTTCAGTAGATTTTCTATTGATTTGTTGTTGTGTAAAACAAACAGCCATGGATGAAGTACGGCTGCTTCTTCAAGTCAAAGTTTGTTTATCAGGTGCCTGCTAGCTTTTTCCCAGTAAAGGTTTTAGACACTAGAGAAATGCACCTGCAATGGTTCTACCTTTTCACTCTTTGATCTGTGTGTGTGTGTGTGTGTGTGTGTGTGTGTGTGTGTGTGTGTGTGTGTGTGTGTGTGTGTGTGGGCGTTGGCCTCCTTGCTCTAGGCAACGGGGCTAGCTTCTTCCTGCTAGAGAGGTTTTACTGTTTTTGCTCTTGTGTTTACTTTTTATTGCTGTTTCGTATTGTAGTAATTCAGTTTTTACATCGTTTTATACATTATCTATGCAATCACTGTGGTAGTTTGTGCTCGTGCAGCACACTGTGCTTCTGCCTAGACATAAATGAACTTTAACCCTACCCTAAAAATACTGACTAATTGTGAGGTTTGGTTTATATGCTGTGACATCGCTCATCACCGTTGCCTCCACCAGTGTGTGAACGTGAGAGTGAATGAATAGTGGAATTGTAAAGCGCTTTGAGGGTCTCGAAAAGCGCTATATAAATGCAATCCATTATTATTATTATTATTATTATTATTAGTAGTAGTAGTAGTAGTAGTAGTAGTAGTATTGTTTATAAAGTAAGCTATGCTTGCATTCATTTTTGCTACATGAGATTTCATATATTTCATATTTCCTCTTTTTTCCCTAAAACAAACCTTTTCTTAAGTAGTCTTTGAATAACCAGAATAATGAAGACAAGGAGAAGGAAACCGACAACAGCTGTCAGGCCGAGTAGCCAGGGCTGAAGGGACACTGGCTTGGATCCTTCTGCTGCTCTCATGCCATTTTGAACACCTGCACACACACAGACTTGCATTATTATTGGGGGGGTTCTAATAACCAGATGATATTGCACTTTGCACAGATTTCCTGTAAACCTTACCCTAAATGCTTACTCTAAACTTGGGTCTACCATAAGCTTAAACTGATTGTTTAACATCATAGTTTAAAGTATGGGTGCTTCTGTCTGTAAAAGGAAGATGAGTCCTCAGTGTGTGCAGAGAATTATAATGACATTTGTGATATCGATGCATAACTGTAAATAAAGTGAAAGCCAATTTAAATTAATTTGTATGTTTTTAATGACATAATCATTTTTTAAAATTTGACGTTAGGCTCAGAACTGCTCCTTATCAAAAACAGAGTGAGTCCGAAGGACAGAGTTTACATTCTATTCATTTCGATAGACCTGGTAATTATATGTAACCTGGTGGAAGCAGTTTGTAGGAATAATTGTTCCTACAGGTTCACACCGCACTGCAACAAGGGTCTCATATGTGACCTCTTCAATCATTAATGAACAAAATATGGAAACAAAGTTGAGTGACAAAGAAAACACATTTTATGGTACCACAAAGTGCCATAGTTAGACAGATTAGTGTTTCACAAGAACAAGCATTTTAGCGTTTAAGGACACCAGGTTAAAATAAATCAAGTAACTAAACAATGACCTAAAGTCTGAGCTGTAAACAGTATAGCAGATAAAAGAAAATCAGACACACCGACGCACATATGTGTAGACAGCAAGACGATATAACCCACACTTGTTTGTAGTAAGAAATACAGAATTGCATATGAATTCAAACAGAAGGCGGGACATGTTTTACCTCTGTCAGCTAAGCAGATGGTGGCACACAGCAGCACGCATGACAAAAATATTTTCATTGTGAATTCAGACCAAGTCGATCCAACGACTCACTAGAAATGGGATTCCAACTCACCTGACTTTCTGAGAAAACACATGCACCTAACACTAACTGGGGTCAAAGTTCACAGTCCACACAGATAATATCACAGAAAGTTATTGTGCTATTACATTTCAGCATTTTCACGTGGTTCATGTACAGCCACAGGCCTCATAAGGGGCAATAGTTAATTAGGTGAGCACTGCTGAGTAAAAATCACAGGGCCATTACAAAGAATCTGAATATACTGAAATATTTTATAGCTTTAACAGCAGCAGTTTAACTTGATTGCTGAGCCTAGATTATCCAAGTGGCATTCTGGGCAAAAAAACAAACAAACAAACAAAAGCGCTTCTTTCTCCACTAACATAATAATCTGGGTAGGCTATGTAAGAGAATGAAACAAGTAGGAGTTAGGTAAGCAAAGGAAAGCAGAGGACAAGAAAAAAAGGTGTGCCATTTTTATGGAAGTTGCCTACTGAGAATTGCTTTGCTCAACATTAAAGTTGCTGAGAAAATCTTCAGTGTGCCGACATGTCTGTGTCCTGATGGTAAATTTAACATGAACTCGAAGAAATTAGATTTGAACTCATAAATAAACTTTGGGCTCTCTGTTTTCAATCTAATGTCTGATTCGATCATTCAAAAACATTATTGAATTTTTATTAGGATATTTCCTTTGTGGATGGATGTATACACCGTGTGTACATCTATCTTAGAGTCTCAGAGCTTATCCCAGCTGCTATGTGATGAGAGGCAAAGTACAAACTGTAGCACAGCTGCCGGCAATTTAGAGTCATTAATCTAACCTAACTCTAATTACCTCGGGAGGAAGCTCCAGAGAAAACCCACGCTGGAGAGACCCACGGTGAGAACATGCAAACTCCACACAGAAAAATCAGATCATGGTGGATTTGAACCCGAGACCAGGGATGGGAGTTTTGATGCTGACGTTTCCTCACTGTGTCGAGCTCCCAAAGCACAGATGTTTCGAAATACTGCTCTGAAGTGGGGTATCACTGGTGCTCTTATGGTTTTCAGATTGTTTCTGCCAAAAAGTGATGGTCTGCCAAAAAGTGATTACCAGTATTTAAACTGCTGAAAGTAATTTGTTGTCTTTAATATGTGAAACATATGTCAAATCCATCCCTCATGAATGACATCAAGTCACAAACAACATTTCTGCCACGAGGTAGAAGCTGTAATCAGTTTTTTTGGCAAAGTGACTTGTATATATTGCTTATTTGTCCAGTTAAAAAGTCTTGTTGACATTAAAAATGTCTTTTTGAAGAGAGACCTGGCCAAGAAAGCAGCAGAAATGGCAACAAGTATAACAATAGTCCTATAAAGATATTTTAAGTGGCCAAACACTAATCACTACTCAGGACCTTTTTACTGTGGTAACCTTAAATGCTATGTCATAATCAATATAATAATCATAATTTTTTAAGCCTTTCTACTGAAATCTAGCTGGCTAGTATCCATCAGACATCTGTGTCCACGAGTATGTAAGCTCACGATCCCTGTATGTCTGTCACCGAGGCTTTGATGCAATATAACTGCAGCTGGAGCTGAACTCCTGAACATTTAGCGCCCCCTGTTGAACTCTTTGATATGACAGCGTGTGTAACCTGAGTGTGCGAAATACTTCCAAGACCACATCAAGCCAGAGTTTGATTCGTAGATTTTTAAGTTTTAAAGATCACTTGTTCCTGTTTAAAGGATATTTTATTTCTTATGCCGCATAAATCGATTGATTAGAAGACAAAGTGTGAATAAAAGACTTTTATTCTGAAGGATCGTAAACGGAAACGCTTTTAGTTTTGGCGGAAGGCTGTGAGTGGGTGAGGTGCTGAGGTTAAACATCAGCTGAGTTCAACGCGGGTTTATTTCACCATGTCTCGATTCAAAGGGGGGTGTAAGGATTCTCTGGCGGGCTTTAAGGTGCAAACGGCAGAGCCGACTGTTCCGTACGGCCTGCTGAAGGCGGCCCGGAAGAGCGGGCAGCTCAACCTGTCCGGCCGAGGACTGAAAGAAGGTAATTTTATGTTAGCTCACACATACAGCACCACTAAAAGACCAGATCTGCCATTGATTTAATAAAAAAAAAGTAACCTAATATATTATAATATATAATAATAATAATAATATGACTACACGTTTTCTTCCTCGCTGGACTTCTTTCAGTATATATTTTGACTGAACAAACTGAACCTTGATATTCCCATATTGCTCATGTTTGAACACTGACACATGATCCTGCCTGTTTCCAAAAAGTATATTTTACGCCAGTGTAAGTCTCTCTGCTTAATCTACACTGCTTGTTAATGTAATCATGTAACCAATCGGCACATGGCAGCAACCCATTTATTCATGTAGACAGGGTCAAGATGACCTGAGTATAAATAGAGTATGAGAATGGGGAAGAAAGGGGATCTAAATGACTTTAAAAGTGGGAGGATTGTTGGTGCCAGTCTGGCTGGTGAGTATTTCAGACACTGCTGATCTGCTGGGATTTTCCTGCACAACCATCACTGGGGATTACAGAGCATAGTCTGAAAAAGAGAAATGTCTGGTGAGCAGCAGTTATCTGGGGGAAAATGCTTTGTTGATGCCAGAGATCAGAGGAGAATGGTCACAACACTTTGACCTGTTAGGAAAGCAACAGCAATTTAAAAAAAAAAAAAAAAGTTAGCTAACAAAGTCAGACAGATAAGGCTGAAATGGTTTGGACATGTGCAGAGAAGGAATAGTGAGTGTATATATTTGATGAATGATGATGAAGATGGAGCTGCCAGGCAGAAGGAAGAGCTTTATAGATGTAGTAAAGGAAGATATGTAGAGGGTTGGTATGGCAGAGGATGCTGAGTGAGATGGAGGCAGATCCACTGTGGCGACCTTCTGAAAGGTAGGCCCAGCCGGACAAAGTTTATTGTTCTTGTTGCTGTTGCAAAGGTTAAGATGAAACCTGGGGTCCAGGAATTTATTGGCTTTGTTACTTTGTGACTCGTACCATGTTGTGCATACCTTCATGGCAATGGTCTCTTTCCACACAAAAAATTACACTGGCCTTTGTTGTGTCAGGTGAATGGTAAATGGCCTTTATTCATGCTTATACAACTTGCCTCATTCATCCATTCACACAAGCATAGGTTTATGGTTTGTCTAAGTAAGCGCTTTCTAACATTTGCACGCATTCATATTCTGATGGATTCATCGGAGAGCACACAGGGTTAAACCTTGCCCAAGGATATTTGGCATGGGAGCAGCCAGGGATCGAATTTCAACCTTAGTAGATGACCTGTTCTATCTTGTGAGCTACAGGCACCACTTTTTCTTACTACTACTATTATTATTATTATTATTATTATCATCATCATCATGGGAGCATAATCCTTTTTTTACTTTCATGTTGTAGGCCAGTTATATGAATGAAAAAGTGTTATGGTTGGGGTTAGGCAAGTAAAAATTAGGCTTGAGTCTCCAGGACATGAAATGAATTTAATGTCACCAATACTGCGTAGAAACCCGACTAACACGTGGCTCAGTTCCCCAGAACGTCTATCGTCTAAACATCGACACACCAGAGGAGGCCCAGCAGAATGTGTCCTTTGGAGCAGCAGATTGCTGGTGGGAGCAGACAGACCTCACAAAACTACTGCTCTCATCCAATCAGATTACATTATTGTCAGATGACATCAGACTGCTGCCTGGACTGACTACACTGGATGTAAGTAGTAGAAGCCTCAATCAACAAGCTAGCTGAGTGTATGTCTATTATTTGTGTGTGTGTGTGTGTGTGTGTGTGTGTGTGTGTGTGT